CTCAATTTGACGTAAAGGGTGTCTCGATAATTTTGAGAAATATCAAGCTTGTTTATTCACAGAATGTAGAAGTATGGTAGTTATGTTGAACCTTCTTCGACTAAATTTTTCAGTTACTTTTTTAGCAGAATTTAGCCCGAATTTCTCCAAAGCTTGAGAGATGATTAAGAAATCAATATTTAATAATTCCTCTTCCTTGAAAAATGACGCCGAATTCAAATCAAGAAATGCAGCATGTTTTTGTTGCCTTTTTGGAGATAGTGATGTTACCTTTCAAGGAGCTGACGTGTAATTATTGTAATTTTTTTTCAGTGAGAGAATGAGGAAATGCAAGGGAAAAGGACAAGGAGTAGTAGGTGCAGAGACAGTGAAGGAATTATTCGTTTGTTACAAATGTAACTATGAGACTAACTGTAGAGCGGAATTATGGGTCACTTCAGTGAAGAAAACGTGAATCTAACGAAAGCGATGATTTGCTTGTTACTTGTAAACATTGCAATGCATCCTTCGTGAAAGCAGAATCTCTGGATGATCATATCATAAAAAAACATCCAAATTTATAACGTCTGTTTCGCGTAAGATATATGAATGCCCAAATTGCACTTTCAAGAGTGTCTCAAGGTACAAAATACCTAGGCATATTAGAGCAGTCCATTCTGATATGAGCATCTCGTTGCACGTGTGCGCGCATTGTCAATCTACTTTTAAAAAACCGGAATCGCTAGACAATCATATAGTCAAAAACACATCCAACTTTCGTATCGTCAGTTAAAAGGAAATTTTATGAATGTACCACATGCCCATTTAAAACAGTATGGAAAGGGAAGATGGAAAAACATATGATGAGAACACACCTTGATGTATCATCTAACTTGCTGGTTCCGTGCATGTATTGCAAAAAAGTTGTTAAAAATAAACGATATTTATATGAGCATATAGTAAAAACGCATCCAGATCACCAAGCGTCAGCTACAACCGAACCACAGGAATGTCCAACTGACGATACAGAAGTCATCCTGATTCAAAGACGTCACTGTACGTTTGCACACATTGCAAATCTACTTTTAAAAGCCGGAATCGTTGGACGATCATATAGTTAGAATACATCCTGCCTCCATATCGTCAGTTAAAAGGAAAATACACGGATGTACCAAATGCGAATTTAAAACTGTGTCTAAACATTCGCTAGGAAGGCATATGATGGGGGCGCACCCTGAAGTAGCGTCTAACTTGTTCGTCGCGTGCAAGCATTGCGGTGCGGTTTTCAAAAGTAATTATACCTGGATGATCATGTTGTAAAAAAGCATCCAGATTGTTCGGAGTCGGTCACGAGGAAAATATACGAATGCCCAAACTGTCCATTTAAAACAATAGCTAATAATAAACTGGAAAGTCATACGATGATTCATCACCCTGAAGCAGCTTCTAGCTTGCTTATCCATTGCATGTATTGCGATAAAGTTTTCAAAAGTAAATCGGGGCTAGATGAGCATACATTAAAAAAGCATCCAGATCGTTGTGCGTCAGTTACAAACAAAATACACGAATGTTCAATTTGTCCGTTCAAAACGATAGCTAAAGTTTCGCTGGAAAGACATATGATGAACGCGCACCCTAAAGCAGCATCTAACTTGTTCATCACGTGCACGCATTGCGATAAAACTTTTAAAAACAAACAATTGCTGGATGAGCATATATTGAAAAAGCATCCAGACTGTTATGCTTCACTTACGAGCAAAATACACGAATGTCCAACTTGTCCGTTTAAAACAGTATATAAAGGTAAACTGGGAGCCATATGATGAAGTGCACATCTTGAAGCAGCGTCTCATTGTCGTTGTCGATACTGTTAATCCATTGTCTGAATTTTAGCTAGACTATTAGCAGCAAACTTTTACTTGTATACTTTATCTGAAGTCACTTGAAATAGCATAAAAACCTTTGGTCGGCGCGTCCTTTGTAATTTCATGACGTATCATAGGCGTGCGGTCATTTATTTAGAACGATAATAATAATGTTTTTTATATCACAATAAATGGATTTTACTATCTTCTTATTTTTTTGATTTGGGATAAAAAATACTTATATTGGGAGTTTAATTTATGTTGAGTGAAAGTTAAGAAATGGAAAAATTACAGAATTCCAACGTTTGACATAGGTAAATATTTACATAGCTGGTAGGTATATAAAAAGGTATATAAAGACTTACATTATAGGTATTTATATATCATCCTCGCCTTCGGAGCTGTCGCTAGAGTCGTCTTGTAGAGGAATTACAACGGGATTTACAGGAGGCAAAACACAATATTCATTTTCTTTTTCAATAATATGCCTAGAACACTGCTTCCATTGGTCTGTGGCAGCAATATGAGAAACTGCATCTCTTATTGTGGCCAATAGCGATTCACTTAATTGGGAGTCTGATTATATGTTTTCTTACTTTTTTTAAAGCAGCCAGACCAACTCAATCGGGTTAAAAATGCAGTAATAGGGAGGTAGACGTAATACTTCATGCCATTGTGCTGAAGCAGATTGTCACAACATACTCTTTTTCAAATTTTTGTCTTTTAATAAGATCCAATAATATGGCTTTGGTTGATTTTTGTGGTATTTCCATTCCCTTATCCTTCATAAAATCAATAATGTCTTGTTTTTTGTGCCTGTATTCGGAATTTTGTTTTTCTGTCGGGAATGGTATGGCGCATTGTCCATAATAATCACTGAATTTGGGGAAATGTTTGGTATTAACTACTGCTCTATCCACTTTTCAAATAAGTCGGAGGTCATGTCCTCATGATAGTTGGCACATGATTCTTTGATATTTTTGGCAGATAACAGCAAGGCATTAGGTATAAATCCATTTTCACTGCCAGCATGGAGAATAATGATTCGTTTTCCACGGTTGCATGGTGCATTTAAAATGCACTTGTTGCTGTCGTCAACCCAGCCGTACTGCACATCATGGGTATCATACCACGTTTCATCCAATAAAATCAGATTTCTTTTCTGCTCTCTATAGATTTTAACTTGCAACTGTGCAAAAATTCTTGGCGCAATTCAACGATTCGAGACGACTCCATAATCACCATTCTTTTATCTAATTTTTTGTATTGAAAACCACACAGTTTTACAATACAGTGCAGTGAGTCTAAGCATTTGTAATTATAAAAATCTTCAGGATAATCTTTTAATTTATCCCGTATCATTTCCAACGTGGGCACCAAATTTTCTTTATAAAATCCGTATATTATACGACGAATATCTTCCTGAAAACCCACGTCTATTCTTTTTAATTTTTGCCCTATGCGCTTTCTGTGGAAGGAATGGTTGACTACATCTCCCCTTTTTATAACCCGATAAATGGTAGACCGACTGATTTTTGTCAGGATACAAATTCTGTTTAAAATTTGATTTTGCGAGGGATCTGGATTTTCGTTTTTCAGACAATCATACATATTTAGGATTTTCTTTGGGTCTGTTCCTCTAAATCTTTATGAAAGAATTCTGCCTGCACAGGTTCATCAACCATCTCCTCGTGGCTTGGAGCATTTTCCCAAGGTCTCCAAAGAGCCATATTTAGGACACATAAGAACAATCAACACAACAATTAAATCAACAAGTAAACTGGGTATTCAAAAGTCAAAAACACACAAACTAATAAAATCTATGAAAAAACACGGACAGACTAAAGAAAACACGTTTATTCACCGCTACACGGCACTGGCTAAACTGTTTCAATTTTCAGTAGCCACCTGCACTTGTTCGGAGCTCTAAAATACACGCTTTCTCATTGGCTATGTCCATAGGCGTGCTTTACTCCACGTGGACCGGTGAAACTGCCTTTGATCTTATACGGGGGATATTTGCTGCGAAATTTGGCGATTTTTGCAGCAACAGAGCGTGTTAAATATAGATATATAAAATGCACCCGGTATTTCACAGTGTTTCAAGTGACCAGATAAAGTATACATCATTATCTACAGTGCGCGAATCATCAGCAGTGTTACCACTCTCTAGTGTAGTGGTATCATCTGCACACAGGACAAGACTCTGACAGTTACAGAGGGCCAGGTCATTTATGAATATTATAAAAAGCGTGAGACCTGTAACGGAACCTTGGGGGACCCCCTGCTTCTTCGCTAGAATCTTAGGATTCCCGTGTGAGCTGATGTTCTGATTTCTTTCACTGAACATATTCAAGGCTTCCACAATCAAACTTTTACTTGTACATCATTATCTACAGTGCTCGAATCATCGGCAGTGTTACCACTCTCTAGTGTAGTGGTATCATCTGCACACAGGACAAGACTCTGACAGTTACAGAGGGCCAGGTCATTTATGAATATTATAAAAAGCGTGGGACCTGTAACGGAACCTTGGGGGACCCCTGCTTCATCGCTAGAATCTTAGAACGATTCCCGTGTGAGCTGATGTTCTGGTTTCTTTCACTGAATTATATTCAAGGCTTCCACAATCAAACCTTTACTTGTACATCATTATCTACAGTGCTCGAATCATCGGCAGTGTTACCACTCTCTAGAGTAGTGGTATCATCTTCATACAGGACAATACTCTGAGAGTTACAGAGGGCCAGGTCATTTATTAATATTATAAAAAGCGTGGGACCTGTAATGGAACCTTGGGGGACCCCTGCTTCATCGCTAGAATCTTAGAACGATTCCCGTGTGAGCTGATGTTCTGGTTTCTTTCACTGAACTATATTCAAGGCTTACACAATCAAACTTTTACTGGTACATCATTATCTACAGTGCTCGAATCATCAGCAGTATTACCACTCTCTAGAGTAGTGGTATCATCTTCATACAGGACAATACTCTGAGAGTTACAGAGGGCCAGGTCATTTATTAATATTATAAAAAGCGTGGGACCTGTAACGGAACCTTGGGGGACCCTTGCTTCATCTCTAGAATCTTAGAACGATTCCCATGTGAGCTGATGTTCTGGTTTCTTTCACTGAATTATATTCAAGGCTTCCACAATCAAACTTTTACTTGTACATCATTATCTACAGTGCTCGAATCATCAGCAGTATTACCACTCTCTAGTGTAGTGGTATTATCTTCATGCAGGACAATACTCTGAGAGTTACAGAGGGCCAGGTCATTTATGAATATTATAAAAAGCGTGGGACCTGTAACGGAACCTTGGGGGACCCCCTGCTTCATGTCTAGTGTCTTAGAACAATTCCCGTGTGAGCTGATGTTCTGGTTTCTTTCACTGAATTATATTCAAGGCTTCCACAATCAAACTTTTACTTGTACATCATTATCTACAGTGCTCGAATCATCGGCAGTGTTACCACTCTCTAGTGTAGTGGTATCACCTGCACACAGGACAAGACTCTGACAGTTACAGAGGGCCAGGTCATTTATGAATATTATAAAAAGCGTGGGACCTGTAACGGAACCTTGGGGAACCCCCTGCTTCATCTCTAGAATCTTAGAACGATTCCCGTGTGAGCTGATGTTCTGGTTCACTGAATTATATTCAAGGCTTCCACAATCAACCTTTTACTTGTACATCATTATCTAAGTGCGCGAATCATCAGCAGTATTACCACTCTCTAGTGTAGTGGTATCATCTTCATACAGGACAAGATTCTGACAGTTACAGAGGGCCAGGTCATTTATGGATATTATAAAAAGCGTGGGACCTGTAACGGAACCTTGGGGGACCCCCTGCTTCATCGCTAAAATCTTAGAACGATTCCCGTGTGAGCTGATGTTCTGGTTTTTTTCACTGAATCATATTCAAGGCTTGCACAATCAAACTTTTACTTGTACATCATTATCTACAGTGCTCGAATCATCGGCAGTGTTACCACTCTCTAGTGTGGTGGTATCATCTGCACACAGGATAATACTCGGAGGGTTACAGAGGGCCAGATCATTTATGAATATTATAAAAAGTGTGGGACCTCTAACGGAACCTTGAGGGACCCCCTGCTTCACATCTAGACAATTACTTTGCGAGCTGATGTTCTGGCTTCCTTCAAGGCTTCCTCAAAGCCGATTTTTATTTTGCTGCCTGAACAGATAACTCGGATTAACAGACAGGAAAAAAATCGTATAAAAAAACTGTAGATAGTGTGTGATAGGAAACAGACAAAAGAATAACTCATCCAACAGTTAAAAAATACCGGGGTGATAAATTAAACGTTTTTTATTATCTTAAAAAATACTTACTCGCTTCTGTTGAAATTTGGCAATATTATTTGTTGTATTAAGATGAGACAATTTAGCCCTAAACATTAAAATTATTAGGACCACTGCCTTTTTTGTAACTTTGATATTTTTGGTTGTTTGATTAAGCACATAAAAATACAACTTACAAAATAAAAACCGTTTTATTGCATGTTAAAATTGGTTTATTAATTTTTACTAAAAAAATCACAAGTGCCTTGATAATCAAAATGCATGGAGGTTTGACATTTGCACGTTAGTTCTTCTAGAAAATGATAATGTTCTTTGCGGAATTTCTCTAAAAAGTTTTTTTAAAAACTGCATTTCCGGACACAGTCATGTTTCTAAAAACTTTTTTATATGTTTTAACAAGGAATCACCTTCTCTCTAAAATATGCATGAAGTACATATTTGTGGTGACTGTCGCTGCTTCATCATAGTAATTTTTATGAAAAAAAATATAAACTGGAGTCTGTTACGCGTACACAATTCAGAAGCGTTCCACCGTACGTCATAAAATTACCACTCAATCAAGATGTTACATTCGCAGTAAAAAATGTCTCGAATCCTTGCAGATTGGTGTCAAATTGAAATCAACGAGTACTTGTTCAAGTAGTACCCTTTGAATTTAATTTTTGTAGCCTTTGTCGAAGACAGTAATGTTACTTTTGACGCAGCAGAGGTGTAATTATTGTAATTCTTTTTCAGTGATAGAATGGGAAAATGCAAGGAAAAAGGACTAGAAGTAATGCACGGAGAGGCAGTGAGGGAATTATTCATTTGTTACACATGTAACTATGAGACTAACTGTAGAGCGGAATTGATAAGGCACTTGGGTGAAGAAAAATATGGGTCTAATAAGAGTGCTGATGTGCTTAATATTTGTGTACATTGCAAAGCCTCTTTCGTAAAATCAGAATCTCTAGATGATCATATAATAAGAAAACACCCAGATTTTGTAACGTCGGTTTCGCGTAAGATATATGAATGCCCAAATTGCACTTTTAAGAGTGTCTCTAAGTACAAAATACCTAGTCATATGAGAAGAGTACATTCTGATACAAACAGCTCGTTCTACGTGTGCACACATTGTAAATCTACTTTTAAAAAAGCGGAATCGCTGGACGATCATATAGTTAAAATACATCCAACTTTCATATCGTCGGTTAAAAGAAAAATTTATGAATGTACCAGATGTCCATTAAAAACGGTATGGAAAGGAAAGCTGGAAAAACATATGATGAAGACACACCTGAATTTACTAGTCGGTAATTTGATCAATCCGTGCTCGTCTTGCGACAAAGTTTTCAAAAATAAACAGTCGCTGGACGAGCATATATTAAAGAAGCATCCGGATCGTTTTTGGTCTATAACAAGAAAAATATTCGAATGTCCAATTTGTCAATTTCAAACAATCGCTAGAGATAAACTGCAAAGACATCGGATGGTTCATCACCCCAATACAGCATCTAACTTATTCATATCGTGCATGCATTGCGACAGCGTGTTCAAAACTAAGGATATGCTAGATGATCATATAGTGAGAAAGCATCCAGATTTCATAGCATCAGTTTCACGCAAAATACATCAATGTCCAAAATGCCCGTTCAAGACCGTCATAAAGTATAAAATAGATGGACATACGAGATCATATCATCCTGATTCAAACTCACTTCTGCACACATGCGCTCATTGTAAATCTACTTTTAAAAGCGAGAATCGTTGGACGATCATATCGTCAGAGTACATCCCACGTTCGTATCGTCTGTTAAAAGGAAAATACACGAATGTACCAAATGTGAATATAAAACGATAAGTAAACGTACGTTGGAAAGGCATATGATGGGTACACACCCTAAAGCAGCATCCAGCTTGTTCGTCTCGTGTGTACATTGCGATAAACTTTTCAAAAGGAAAGTAGCTCTGGATGAGCATCTACTACAGAAGCATCCAGACTGTTCCGATTCTGTTGCAAGAAAAATATTCGAATGTCCGAATTGTCCGTTTAAAACAGTAGTCAAAAGCATGCTCGGAAGGCATACGATGAAGTGCACACCCAAAAGCAGCAGCAGGATGAAGCAGTCAAAAACAAACAAACGCTAGTTACAAGCAAAGTACGCACAGGAAACCAAATTTTTACTTGTACATTATCTAAAGTGTTTCAATGATCAGCAGTTTCGTCTCCAATGCTCTGTTGCAGAGGGCCAGATCATTTATGAATATTCTAAAAAGCGTGGGACCTGTAACGGAACCCTGGGGGACCCCTGCTTCATCTCTAGGACCTCAGGACAACTCCCTTAAAAGCTGACGTACTGCTTTCTTTCACTCGGTAGTTATATTCAAGGCTTCCGTACTTTGCCAGATTTTTATTTTCATTCTTTCTATTTTATAACCCATACACTGCCTGAACAGATAATTCCGATTGACAGGAAAAAATCGTACAAAAACCTGTGGTAGGAAACAGGCAAAAATATCTCATCCAACAGTAAAAAAGACACCTTGTGGAACTGTAAACATCAAGTTCACTAACGCCCTCACACACACACATTACACATAACAAAAAGTGGCGAAAATAACAATAAATTTTTTCGCGGAATAGGCAAATAAAATGAAATATTATTATCTAAAACGACAATCAATAGTTACATAAAACAAGCTACATACATATTTCTACATTTGACTAGACTAGATAGATTGTACACAGATGGGCGATCCAAGTTGCACATATTATTTTCTGCCCTCGAAAAAATGCCGAATTGCAACGTTGTATTAGCACCGAAGACAGTCTAAAAAGCATATAAAGTATAAAATAAATGGGCATACGAGATCATATCATCCTGATTCAAACTCACTTCTGCACGCATGCGCTCATTGTAAATCTACTTTCAAAAAGCAAGAATCGTTGGACGATCATATAGTCAGAATACATCCCACGTTCATATCGTCTGTTAAAAGGAAAATACACGAATGTACCAATATGTGAATTTAAAACGATAAGTAAACGTACGTTGGAAAGGCATATGATGGGTGCGCACCCTAAAGCTGCATCCAGCTTGTTCGTCACGTGTGTACATTGCGATAAACTTTTCAAAAGGAAAGTAGCTCTGGATGAGCATGTACTACAGAAGCATCCAGACTGTTCCGATTCTGTTGCAAGAAAAATATTCGAATGTCCGAATTGTCCGTTTAAATCAGTAGTCAAAAGCATGCTGGGAAGGCATGCGATGAAGTGCACACCCAAAAGCAGCAGCAGGATGAAGCAGTCAAAAACAAACAAACGCTAGTTACAAGCAAAGTACGCTCAGGAAACCAAATTTTTACTTGTACGTTATCTACTGTGTTTCAATGATCAGCAGTTTCGTCTCCATACAGAGCAATGCTCTGTTGCAGAGGGCCAGATCATTTATGAATATTATAAAAAGCGTGGGACCTGTAACGGAACCCTGGGGGACCCCTGCTTCATCTCTAGGACCTCAGGACAACTCCCTTAAAAGCTGACGTACTGCTTTCTTTCGCTCGGTAGTTATATTCAAGGCTTCCGTACTTAGCCAGATTTTTATTTTCATTCTTTTTATTTTATAACCCATACACTGCCTGAACAGATAATTCCGAGTAACAGACAGGTAAAAATCGTACAAAAAACTGTGGTAGGAAACAGGCAAAAATATAACTCATCCAACAGTAAAAAAAACACCTTGTGGAACTGTAAACATCAAGTTCACTAACGCCCTCTCACACACACAACACACATAACAAACAACGGCAATCTCGTTTTGGGCCCATTCAACGAATCTGCGCCTTGCTTGATGATCGTTTGGCTTCAATTCTTGCACGAGTTGGATTTTGCGCGATACTTATTCCGCACAGAACCATTATTTTCGAAATAAAACTGCACAATTTGCAAACGTTGTTCAGGCGTGAGTCTATTCATGATGAATCGCCAAACCAAACTGAGAATAAATCACTTGACAGCTGTCAAATCGGTCGCCATCTTCAAGAGTAATGCTAACTTAAAGTTCTGTACCTCGAAAAAAAAACACCCGTTACAACTGGTCGAGAGACTCGTACTGAAAACTATACAATAGCACAAAAAAGTTTAGATAAACGATAAGAGTAGTAAACAAAGAGCCGCTAAGATTTTACACGGCAGTGGTCGAGAATATCAAAAAATCTGTGTAATAACATTATCTTTCAAAATTTTTAATTTTCTACTAATTCTTTTATTAAGTAACTTTTTAGGTGATTTTTGGCGAGTCCTACAAGCAGTTAAAATACTTAACTTTGAAAACACCCTGTATAACCACGATTGAAATACTGGCGTCGGTAAAGCTACATATTTGTGTTATCGTTCGCCGCCTCACCATAGTATTTTACGAAGTTTTTTACGCTTACACAATTCAGAAGCCTTCCACTGTGCATCATAAAATTACCCGCAATTAAATTCCCGGGTATTTTAAATAACTTTTTAACCTTAAAAGGTGCATTTTGCCCTAAATTTCTGAACACCCTGTGAAAACATTGGACTACTAAATGATGTGTCTTCGTGTGAGAATGTAAAGCCTCAACATTTCCCAACAGTTCTTTTTTGATCCATGTCAATATCTCAGTTATTGCTGTTTTGAAAAAAATCGTCCGAATCATAGTCATACACAATTTAATTTAAAAAATTACAGTGGCAACATTGGTAAGAAAACTATGCGAATCATGACCATATACATTTAAACTTAAATAACAGTTTTATTAAAATTTTTTATCAAAAACGAGTATTTCCTCCCAGACTTTGAATAACAGCTCTCATTCTCTCTGGCATAGATTCAATTAAACCAGTTATCGTGTCTTGGGGATTTGCTCCCAATCGTTTACCAGCCCCTGTTCTTCTTCATAGTTCTGCCTAAGCCTTCTTCCTAATGTATCCCACATGTGTTCAATGGGGTTGAGATCCGGACTCCTTGACGGCCAGTCTAATACTTGAGGTATTGTTTAGTCATTCTGGCTATATGCGTACTAGCATAATCTTGCATTAGGAACAAATTTTCTTCTATAAAGGGCATATGAGGAACCCCATGTTCTTCCAAACAGTCCTCGCAGCGAAACAAGATCTGTGCGGGATTCCAAAGAAATACCGCCCCATACCATTACTCCTCCATCAGTTTCTCTAAATATTTACGTACTGCGTGGAACGGCAAGCCTTTCTGCGATATACTGAACAGGACGACCATTTGCATGATTTTCTTCAAAACAGCATATCTTCTTCAATAATTGAGATATTGACATGAATCATAAAAAGAACTGTTGGGAAAAGTTGAGACTTTAAATTCTCATACGAAGACATATAATTCAGTAATCCAGTGTTTCCACAGGGTGTTCGGAAATCTAGGGCAAAATGCACCTTTTAGTTACACCCTGTATAACAACAAACATTTTCAGTTTTTTTGCAGGATCGGCAATCGATAATGATGTCGATGAAATTACCTGCAACTTGACGAAAAAATTAACGAAATTGATGAAAAGGTTAAAAAGTTATTTAAAATTTAATTTTAAAAATTTTTTGTCTGCCCGGCAGTGGAAATGCCACATTCGCAATTTAAAATGTCTTAGGTGCCTGCAAAATGGCACCAAATTAAAATCGAGAAGTACTTGTTCTAGTAGTGCCCTTTAATTCAAATTTTTTGTTGCCTTGAGGTAAAAACCCACGAATTGTAATGTTTTTCTGGGTGTGGATTAAAACACTGGATTTCACAAAAAGAAATGTACTAATTTATTTGACTTGATAGAACATTTATACGAGTATACACCACTATTTATGTCTGACTAATTCTTACGTCGCCACTGACTGCACTAGACTCCACTCCGCTCTGCTACTCTACCGTATTCAGTAATCTCTGCCTCCATCTTTTTTTTGTGAGGGGTGAATGCGTTTATGCACCATACCATAGCCCGAGCTACGGCATGTGTGGGACTCCAGGTTGTCGTGAGGAGACCACCTAATACCCATTAAACCCTAACCTCTGCGTGGCCCGACTCAACAGCGTCTCGGTAAGGCCGTGTGTTGTGAGTGACCTGCGGTCTGCTACAACGTCTCCTCACGTGTTTCAGTCTCTGGGAACGCCGGGTTGGTTCCCTCTACCTCGCACAGTTCTATCGATGTCTTTAAGCGAGCATCGATAGAGGGTTTGCTATGTTCTCTTGAAACTTTTGTTTTCGAAAAATCAAGAGTTTCAAGTCCTCTACTTGTTTGTTACCTGGTCCTGATGGGTGCTGGTCCTGGGCCTGATGGGTCCTGGTCGTCCTGGTCCTCGTCCTCTGCTTTCATTCCACGTCGTGGGGGGCGGGGCGGAGCGCGGGGCGGGGCGGGGCGCGGGGCGGGGCAACCTCGAGTAGCGCCTGCCAACTGTGACGTGGGTCTAGGGTACTTAGCTCTGTGGTTGCGAGGCCTCTCATCCGGATCGTAGTCCATGAGGAGTCGTAAAGCTACAAATGCTAACAGACACAACCTACTTCAAACAATTTCTTACCCGGCCAAGCCTGCTTGAAAAAATTTCTTGTTTATGGCTATGAATTGCATATATTCTTCAATAATTGAGATATTGACATGAATCATAAAAGGAACTCTTGAGAAAAGTTGAGGCTTTAAATTCTCATACGAAGACACATTATTCAGTAATCAAATGTTTTCACAGGGTGTTCGGAAGTTTAGGGCAAAATGCATCTTTTAGTTACACCCTGTATAACGAAAAAAATAACGTAATTGATGCAAAGGTTAAAAAGTTATTTAAAATTTAATTTTAGCAAAATGTTGTCTGCCCGGCAGTGGAAATGCCACAATCGCAATTTAAAATGTCGCAAGTCCCTGCAAAATGGCGCCAAATTAAAATCGAGAAGTACTTGTTCTAGTAGTGCCCTTTGAATGAAATTTTTTGTTGCCTTGAAGATAGTAATGTGACTTTTGAAGGAGCCGAGGTGTAATTATTGTAATTCTTTTTCAGCGAGAGAATGAGGAAATGCAAGGAAAAAGGACTGGGCGTAGTGGATGCAGATGCAGTAAGGGAATTATTCGTTTGTTACAAATGTAACTATGTGGCAAACTGTACTGCTGACTTAATGAGTCATTTGAATGAAGATAAATGCGAATCTATCGAAAGTGCCGATTTAATCATGTGCGAATATTGCAATGCCTCTTTTGTAAAAGCGGAATCTCTAGATGATCATATCATAAAAAAACACCCAGATTTTATAGCTTCAGTTTCGCGTAAAATAATTCAATGCCCGAAATGCGATTTTAAGAGTATCTCAAAGTACAAAATACGTAGACACATTTCAGGAGTACATCCCGGTTCAAAAGGAAATCGGAACGTGTGCGCGCATTGCAGTTCTACGTTTAAAAAACCGGAATCTCTGGACGATCATATAGTTAAAATACATCCGACTTTCATGTCAAGTGTCAACCGAAAAATTTACGAATGCACCATTTGTCCGTTAAAAACAATATGGAAAGGCAAGCTGGAGAAACACATGACGAATGTACACCTGAAATCGGCATCTGTCTTGTCTATCCCGTGCACGTATTGTATCAAAATCTTCAAAAGTCAGCAATCGCTAGATGAGCATATAGTAAAAAAGCATCCGGATTGTTGCGGGTCAATTGTAAGCAAACTACACGAATGTTCAATTTGTCCATTCAAATCAACTGCTAAAGGTAGACTGGAAAAACACATGATGAATGTACACCCTATAACAGCATCCGACTTGTTCATCAGATGCATGCACTGCGAAGCAGTTTTCAAAAGTAAAGCGTCGCTAGACGATCACGTGGTAAAGAAGCATCCAGATCGTTCCGCGTCCGTTACTAGAAAAATATTGGAATGTCCAATTTGTCCGTTTAAAACGATAGCTAAGGCGAAACTTGAAAGTCATACGATGATTTATCATCCTAACGCAGCGACTAACTTGTTCATCGCGTGTATGCATTGCGAGGACGTTTTCAAGAGTAAGGAATTGCTAGATGATCACATCGTAAGAAAACATCCAGATTTCATAGCAGCAGTTTCGCGTAAGATACACCAATGCCCAAAGTGCACGTTCAAAACTGTGAAAAAGTATAAAATAGAGAGACATATGACGGCGGCGCATCCTGATTCGAACACAACGATGAGCGTCTGCGCGCACTGCAAATCTACTTTCAAAAAGCCAGAATCGCTGGACGATCATATAATTAAAACGCATCCAACGTTTATAGAGTCGGTTAAACGTAAAATACACGAGTGCACCAAATGTGAATTTAAAACGATATCTAAAAGTTCGTTGGAAAGGCACATGATGGGTTCGCACCCTAAAGCGGCGTCTAATTTGTTCGTATCGTGCGTACATTGCGATAAAGTTTTCAAAAGCAAGGCACTGCTGGATGATCATATAGTAAAGAAGCATCCGGATTATTCCGCGTCGGTTACAAGGAAAATATACGAGTGCCCAATTTGTCCATATAAAAGTGTAAGGAAAACTGATTCAGATAAGCATATGGCTATACATCCTGAAACAGCGCAGTTGTAATGTACTAAGTGACGAAAAAAGGTAAACACCTACGTATTTTGGCGTTTTTCTGGGTTCTTTTGGGTGAGGATTAAAACACTGGATTCCACAAAAAGAAACGCACTAATTTATTTGACTTGATAGAACATTTATACGAGTATACACCACTGTTTATGTCTGACTAATTCTTACGTCGCCATTGACTGCACTAAACTCCACTCCGCTCTGCTACTCTACCGTCTTCAGTACTCTCTGCCTCCATCTTTTTTTTGTGAGAGGTGAATGCGTTTATGCACCATACCATAGCCCGAGCTACGGCGTGTGTGGGACTCCAGGTTGTCTTGAGGAGACCACCTAATACCCACTAAACCCTAACCTCCGCGTGGCCCGACTCATCAGCGTCTCGGTAAGGCCATGTGTTGTGCGTGACCTGCGGTCTGCTACAACGTCTCCTCATGTCTTTCAGTCTCTGGGAACGCCGGGTTGGTTCCCTTTACCTCGCACAGTTCTATCGATGTCGTTAAGCGAGCATCGATAGAGGGTTTGCTATGTTCTCTTGAAACTTTTTTTTTCGAAAAATCAAGAGTTTCAAGTCATCTACTTGTTTGTTACCTGGTCCTGATGGGTTTTGGTCCTGGTCGTCCTGGTCCTCGTCCTCTGCTTTCATTCCACGTCGTGGGGGGGGCAACCTCGAGTACTCCTAGTCAAGGTTCCAGTTAGCGCCTGCCAATTGTGACTTGGGTTTAGGGTACTTGGCTCTGCGGTTGCGAGGCCTCTGGTCCGGATCGTAGTCCATAAGGAGTCGTAGCTGCTCGTTCGGGTGGTCCTGAGCTTTTTTCCTCATGTACTCGTGAATGGTGTCCCAATGCAGGTCTCTATGCAAGGTTGAGTTTCTTACGTAGGATGGTGCACTGGTGGCGATCCGGAGTAGCTTCATCTCTAGAGCAGCAAGTCGCTTGCGGTAGCCAGACCGCGGAGGCGTAAGCGAGCTGAGGTCTGGCGATGGCCTTGATCAGCCGTAGCTTGGTCGCTAGCGGCATCCGGCTGTGTCTACCCAGTAATGGGTAGAGTTGGGCCATGGCTGCTCTGGTCTTTACGATGACAGCTTCTATGTGATCTTTCCAGGTGAGGGACTTGCCAAATACGATCTCCAGATATTTGACTTTGTCTACTAATAAACGCAATATGCTCTCTAAACATAGAGCTAAACAGGAATAGACAAGTCTTAACATTATACAGGGTGTCCGCAAAGTTGGGGTTTTCCTTTTCAGAAACAACTACCCTTGAAATAACAAAGGTAATGTGTAGTGAAACGAGGGCGACCAAGTAAAAAAAAATAAAGGAAAAAGTACTCACTCTCCAGTTGACGAGAAGGGGTACGTCTCTGCCCGAAATCATACCGCTCCAACAGAAAATTAGTTCGGCTGAAGCGCTACCGAGCAGACGCAGAAACCACATTGATTGTCGTACACTTAATGGCACATCTTCTAACAAGGAATTGCATCCCGTCCAATCGATTTGGGAGAATAAATGGTCCAATGAGCATACCGTTCACCATGCCGGCCCAAACATTCACCGAAAATGTTTGTTGAAAATGTGCCCGACGGACAGCGTGCGGATTTTCTACTGACCAAACATGAGTGTTGCGAAAGTTATTCACCCCATTACGCGTGAACGTAGATTCGTCTGTCACCAATATGCACTTCAAAAAGTCCGGATTATTGTCATGTTGATGCAACAACCACTCACAAAACCGCACTCTTGCTGGAAAATCGTCAGGTTGAAGGGCTTGTACACGTTGGACGTGAAACGGATACAGCGTCTCTTCACTCAGCGTTTGCCACACTTTAGTTTTTGATACTTGCACTTCTCTAGCCACGTCTCTAGCGCTTGTTGAGCGATTCTCGTTTACGCGATTACCTCTACATGCGTGACCGTAACCGTCGGTTGAAGGTTGCATACTAACCTGACACACTGACCCCGACCCAGTTCTGCCGTCGGGTTGAGACCTCGTACCAGTCGGGGATATCGCGGCGGGTCGCGGCTACAGGACGGTATTCAGATATTTTTGATGTTGCAGAGCCCTTTATCTCGGTTCCCTTAAGACATTGCTGTATATGGTACTAAGAAAAATTGCTTATGTTTTCAAAATCTACACGTCGTGCAAAGGAAAACCCCAACTTTGCGGGCACCCTGTATATGTGCGTCATCGCATAAACGCAGAGAAATGCAGCAATATGAGATGTTACGTATTGTAATTCATAAAAGTAGATGTTACCGAAAATCTGTGGGTGATTTGATTTAAGGATCTCAAGATACACCCAAAAATTGTCATGTCACAAATCCCGTGTTTATCAGCGTACTGCGTAAGGATTTGTTGGTCCTCTTATCGATAGACCGGCTTCACGCATTCCTCCTCAATCCCAACGATATTGTACTCTTAGAAGACTTGTTTTGACGAACCAGTCTCCTTGACCTCATTTTTTCTTTTCTCACCAATCTATCTGACCTCTGTGCAGTAAATGAACGTGGCCTCCACTTTTTGGTAGATTCAGGCATGGTATTCCCTGCGTGAAATGTTTTCATTCTGGAATATTCGACAGATTTCTTGTTGCTAATTTATACGATATCTTAAAGCGAAAACTTAAATAAATGTCATCTGACAGTAAACAAACTTTTGTTTACTTACTTGATATTATCTTGTGTTTGTTAAAATTGAAGCCAGTTAGCTTTGTGCCAAAAGTTTTAGGACATTAAACTGCTAAAATAAAATAAAACTGAGAGAGACATGATAAATCAATTTTTCTAATTAACTGGCGCCGTTCTTTGACTTTTTCTTGTACATGAAACGTTTCAATGGTCACCTTAAAAGGTGTTGATTTTTATTAAAAAAAATGTAGTGGAAAAATCGAGTCCACTTCTCGTTTTATGGATGCCCGTCTAGTTCTACATTACTTCTAGGTAAAAATAAATAAATAACTTGTATAACGAAAATATGAAAAGGTGTTGGTCCATTTCACTGCATAAAACATTCATCCACATTGCCGACATCTCCGAAAACGAGCTCAGAAGTAATTGTTGTACTTGTTTTTCAGTGGGAGAGTGAGAAAATACGGGAAAAAAGGACTAGAACGTGGGGGAATCATTAATTTGCTCTATTTGCGGGTATGCAGCGTGCAGTAAGGAAAGTTTTGCTAATCATAGAGCTACATTTCATCAAAAGAGGCGCATATGCAGAAACGGCCCAAAACAATGGGACCTATTTGTTTGTTCGCAATGCGTTAGGGTGTTCGAGACGAAAATAAAGCTGGATGACCATATAATCAGTATACATCCAGAACTTTTACATACGCTTTCCTGCAAAATAATCACTTGTAAGATGTGCGATTACAAATGTGCTTCCAACGTCAGGCTGCGGCAACACAAGCTTTACGCGCATTCTACTACGCGCCGCACAAGACCTCAAAAATGTAACTATTGCGAAACGATTTACGCGAAAAAATCTTCTCTAAACGATCATATAATACGGAAGCATCCGGATCATATAACATCGATCGCTAGCATAATATATCAGTGCCCAAAATGTTGTTTTAAGAGTGTCATAAAAGACCTGGTAGCTAAACACAAGGTAACGCATACAGCGAAGTATCTTGCAGCAAAAACAAAATGACTAACGAATTATTTAGACTGTGAAATATTAGAGGTGCGTGATTCTATATATTTTCAGTAAACTTATGAAAACCAAATGCAAGGTTGGTCTGCTAAAAGTTTCCGACCTATCAAAGATACATTTTTCCTGATTTTTTTTCAACCTAGTCTCCTTGTATGATTTTAAAGCTAAATCATTTTGAAACGGAATCACTTATATTTCTGTCTTCGCTAAACTTCTGCGTAACAGAAGTTGCAACCTGTTGGATATCAATTTCCATAAAGGGTGAAACAACAAATTGCGCTACTATAGCAATTTCGTTGAAATACCGATTTTTGAAGTTATCCTTCAAGTTATAGACAATTTCTACATGATAGTTACTGTCATATGGTTCTAATGGACTTTGAGATATCTTTTCTGAAAGAACAGGGAAATGCCTCGCCATCGATTAAGTTTTGTTCCCATACGCTCTTATATCAGAAATTATTTCTGCTAGATCTTTGTCTCTCCCTAAAGCTGCATTTAATTTTTCTGTAATATCCACAAGAAAACAAGAATCTCCAAGCCAGTTTTGAATTTTCCAGTTCCAGAATCGGTTCATCAAATTGGACTATGGCAGATTTGATATCACTAAAACGTTTCATCACTCGTCGCCTACTCAACCATCGGACTTCAGAGTGAAGAACTAACGGATGATTTTTTAAGAGGTATAGGATTTGATTTTCAAAAAAACACAACAAATTTCAAAAAACGATTAAATCTTTATTTGAGTCGATAGAACGGTCGATATAATTTAATGTTTAAAGATTATTTCATGTAAATGTTGGTCGCGGCTCCGCTTTAGATGGCCCATGCGCAAGGTCCAATTTTGGCACACTCTCTCCAACATATCGGCCGGTATCTCACGAATAAATGCTTCAATATTGGCTCCCAGTGCGTCAATCGTTGCTGGTTTATCCCTGTAGACATTAGCCTTAACATGGCCCCACAAGAAATAGTCCAACGGCGTTAAATCACACGATCTAGGCGGCCAGTTGACGGGCCTCAAACGTGAGATAAACTGTTCACCGAACTCGCCTCTCAATAGGGCCATTATTTCGTGTGCAGTGTGGCATGTGGCACCGTCTTGTTGAAACCACATGTCAGCCAAGTCCAGCTCTTCCATTTTGGGCAAAAAAAAGTTTATCATCGCACGGTAGCGCTCGCCATTCACAGTTCCGTTCCGGCCATTGTCGTCTTTGAAGAAGTACGGCCCGATGATGCCACCGGCCCATAATCGACACCAAACAGTGATTTTTTCGGGATGCATTGGTAGCTCTTGCAATGCCTCTGGCTGGTCTTCACTCCAAATGCGGCAATTTTGCTTGTTAACGTACCCGTTCAACCAGAAATGAGCTTCGTCGCTGTACTCAATTTTTCGATAAAAATGTGGATCTTCCTCCAACTTTGCCAGCGCCCATTCACCAAATTGGAAACGTTGTGGAAGGTCGTGTGGCTTCAATTCTTGCACCAGCTGTATCTTATAAGGTTTTACACCCAAATCCTGTCGCAAATTTTTCCACGTAGTGGAGTAACAGAGGCCCAATTGCCGCGAACGGCGGCGAATCGACATTTCACGGTCATCACTAACACTGGCGGATACAGCCGCAATATTTTCTTCAGTCCTCACTCTACGTCTGCGTGTTGGTGGTTTAATGTCCAATAATGTAAACTGGGTTCGAAATTTAGTCACAAGCTTCCGAATAGCTTCCTCAGTAGGCCCACCAAATCGCCCATAAATTGGAAGCACTCTCTTAACCGAGCATGAATTTTGATAGTAAAATTCAATAATTTGCAAGCGTTGTTCTTTCGTAAGTCGATTCATGGTTAAATTATAGACCAATCTGAACAAGTTTGACAATGACACAAGACACGATTCACGCGTCATCTGTCAAAAACAGTGTTGCCAAAAAGATACTAGCAAAAAAATCACCCATTAGTCCCCCGTATTGACAGTCAATTTCATCGGCCAAGGTTTTGAATAATCTTCTTTGTAACGCTTGAGCTCTAATCTTGTTCACAATCTTTACTAACAATTTCATAACGACCCGCCATAGCTGGAGCGCGATAGGTTGTCAAGCCTAACATTTCCGATATTGGAATTTCCTCAGACGAAATAATATTTTTAAAAGAAGAAAACAAGTATTCGATAGTCCAAACTATCGATAAGTATCGATAGTTCTCGACCTCTAGCAAACACCGGTCGCGCGATACGTATGGTTCGACACGCAATGAAAGAATGACCTAGTTCGCAGGGGTCGGGGATCAGCGGAGTGCAGAGAATCGAAAAATCGATATCTTCAAAATGCGTGTGGTTTGATAGGAAGTGGAAGGTACTACAGTATTCTTAATTACGAGACGAGGCGGAATATAATTTGTCCGCGCCGCAGGTAGATGAAGCTTAGCATTTTGTCGGGATGTCAGCCTAAGTACGTTAAATGATAACCCAAGAAAGCTAAACCATCACTAGCTTTTTTGATCAATTTAAACAGAAAAATCACTGACTGTCAAGACTGCTGATTAGATGTTTTTCAAGTAAGGAATCGTGAGCTATACCTATGGGCGGGTAAACGCCATCCACTATCAGTGCCAAATATTTTAAGAAACGTCTTTGAACACATTCAAGCCTATTTATATGAATAACATGATGCGGATTCCAAATTAGCAATGCATACTCAAGCTTCGACCTATGCATAATACAGCAACTTCTGTAAAGAAATATTGTCCTTCCCATTCCGTTATTCCGCTCAAAGTAATCGAGATCGTTCTCGAACAGATCGCTCGCCGCAGTGTTGCCGATGCTTGTGATTATTATGAGAATTTACAAAATTCACGGAAGCTTCTATGATCTTTACACCTTTTAAAATAAGTTGTGAGCCACCAGAATTGCCTAGCGACCACTGGTCTAACGTAAGCAACGCCAGCTGTCTCATGCCTAAATGTTGATTTAATATGTGACAACCACGTTCCTCTGCTATCTCTGTCACTTTAATTCGGCGGTCATCTAGCACGCAATGAAAGAATGACTTAGTTCGCAGGGGTCGGGGATCAGCGGAGTGCAGGGAATCGAAAAATCGATATCTTCAAAATGCGTGTGGTTGAAAAGGAAATGGAAGGTACTACAGTATTCTTAATTACGAGACGAGGCGGAATATAATTTGTCCGTGCCGCAGGTAGATGAAACTTAACGTTTTGTCGGGATGTCAGCCTAAGTACGATAAATGATAACTGGCCCAAGAAAGCTAAATCATCACTAGCTTTATTGATCAATTTAAACAGAAAAATCACTGACTGTCAAGTGCGCCTTGCTTCAAGACTGCTGATTAGATGTTTTTCAAGTAAGGAATCGTGAGCTATACCTATGGGCGGGTAAACGCCATCCACTTTCAGTGCCAAATATTTTAAGAAACGTCTTTGAACACATTCAAGCCTACTTATATGAATAACATGATGCGGATTCCAAATTAGCAATGCATACTCAAGCTTCGACCTATGCATAATACAGCAACTTCTGTAAAGAAATATTGTCCTTCCCAGTCCGTTATTCCGCTCAAAGTAATCGAGATCGTTCTCGAACAGATCGCTCGCCGCAGTGTTGCCGATGCTTGTGATTATTATGAGAATTTACAAAATTCACGGAAGCTTCTATGATCTTTACACCTTTTAAGATAAGTTGTGAGCCACCAGAATTGCCTAGCGACCACTGCTCTAACGTAAGCAACGCCAGCTGTCTCATGCCTAAATGTTGATTTAATATGTGACAACCACGTTCCTCTGCTATCTCTGTCACTTTAGTTCGGCGGTCATCTAGCACCATTTGGTGAACTTTTGCGATGTTCGTCGGTAGTTGCAGTTTTTGGACGCTGCTTAAAATTTCACTGTGGCAAATAATGGTGCAGAGTCCCCATACACAGAATACAACTCATCTTTTATTTTCGTAGGCGTATTGTCTTCATAAAACAAATACGTATTTAATGAATGCTCGATACTCGATTTTGTCCATTTACATAGAAACACTCAATCAACTCAGTCAAACGACTGTGACATAACAACCAAAATGGCTGAAACTTAGGTGAGTAACTGGCAACTAATGAACAACGAAATTCGCTAGCTTTTATTTGCGAGTGCTGCCATCTTCACGTTGGTCGGAAACTGTTGAGACCTCCTTCGGAAACGGCTCGCGAAGTTGAAGTTATTTTCTTTGAAGATCATTCCTGTTCTCTTAACAAAATGGTTCGCCTAAAAAATGTTGTATGTCCATAAAGATCGTCTGCTTAAAAATGCCAAGGCTTATTTGTTACTTACCTGTGGAGCATGTGAAAACTCGCGGACCTGCCCATAGTTGTACAACATAAATTTTGTATTTACCGGAGACGTGTGAGAGATATTGAGTCTAAAAATGGAACTAAATCACAATAACTGATTTTGGATGTTACCAAAGATTCACGCATTTTTTTACCAGTATTGTTAAGAAATGAGTTTATATTTAAATTTATTCAAGAAAGTTTAGCCGGCTTTCCTATTTCGTCCTGCATAGATTACTTTTAAATTCGATATGTCGTTTCTATTGTAAGTACATAAATAGATTATATAGAGTTTAAAACTGTGAAATATTATTAGTATGTATTTCTATATATTTTCAGAAAACTTGTAAATTATTTTTATTTCAAATAAACCACACACGAAGTTAGTGATTTTCTTTGAAGATAATTCCTATTCTTTTAAGAAACAGGTTCGACTTTATGCGGTACAACATCATAGAATTAGGTAGGTATAAATTCTAGTCACCGGGTTACGTCATCAATGAAATATGAAATAAGTAAACAGATCGAGTCTCCGTACCATGAGCGGAACATTGCGCAGACTTATCGTCAGCGCATCTGCTACTCTCTCCGGTACGCATGAAGTGGATAACATGGTACCGCTGTTGTCATTCTCTTCCTGGAAATACCCTAATAAATTTAGCTGTCGGCCTTCTCCATTGATCGTATTTCCGGGCATTGTACAATTTTATATTGGAAGTCCATAAGCCGCACCCCTTTGAGAACGTTGCGATCTAGGAATTTTCCCTGCTCTACAAACAATACCGGTCATTTCTGATCTCGCCTCTCGTCAGCAGCAATCCAACGTTCAAACTGAGACGCAGATATGTATATCCAGATACGAGCGTTTTTAAAATATTTTTCTGTAGTCAACATTGAAAACCTCCATATAGGACGGCTGGTGCGCCAAGAATGAGCGGCATAGCAGTGGGGAAACAGCCGCGCGCAGCGGTGTTGCCGGATGTCGCCTCGTACCTTCCAGTATGGCAGGAGCTTTTCCGGTACTTTTTTTTTACTGGATCCTAATAAGTAGAAAAAATAAATGCCCTAAAGAGGATTCCGGCACTCCCTCAAAAAGTTAAGGAAGCTTGAAAGTAATTATTGTCGTTCTTTTTCAGTGGGAGAATAAGAGAATACGGGACAGAGGGACTAGGAGATATAGAAGCAGAGCAAGGATCGTTCATTTGCGGCAAAGAAAGTTTATTGACTCACATCACTGATAATGATTGTAATAGAAAAAAACAAACTTTGAATGAGCACAAAGTCAAAGCACATCCAAAACTGTCATCATCACGTGGCCCTAAAGTCTATTCTTGTCCGGAATGTGATTACAAGTCTATCTTTGAATGTAACTATTATCGGCACAAGAAGGTGCACTCCAAGTATTCTCTAGGCGATCTTCTAGTACGAAAACCTCCGAAACGTACCAAAAACATACTTAACATCAAACTACATAAGTGTCCTGAATGTCCATATCAAACTCTACTGAAACACATGCTCGATATCCATGTTGAATCGCAACATCACAATGTAGCTTCGGACTCGTCGTTTATAAAAAAGAAACGCTCGTAGATGTTCACTCCAGGAATGGAAAAATGCACGCACTGGAGTCTACAGAATCATGTACTAAACAGCCATCCAGACCGCACCTCGTCGGTTTTTGGCTGGTGACTGGTGGAGATACAATATAGAGATGGCGACGATAGACGATACATTGATGTATCGAAAACATCGATACATCGGACATAGAACATCGATCTTTACGCATCGATGGTTTCATGACGATATATCGATATCGAGAGGAGTCATAAACATCCGTAACCGTATACCCCGAGTCTATCCGTAACTGTGCTACCATCTCTAAGCGAGGACTGGTAGCTTCGAAATTGAAAGGCCAGAAAGCTATTTAGGTGTTTAGTAGTATTTGAATATTATCATTATTTCTTAGACTCCAAATTATCACTATCTAGCGACTTTGACAGGGGTAGAATTATAGCCTATCGAGATGTTAGTTTGTCCTATCGCGAAATTGGCAGCCGTGTTAATTGTACTGTAATGACGGTAATGAGTGTGTGTCGTGTGTGGATAGAGGAATGTAGACGAACGCGAAGAAGGCCAACTGGTATACCGAGGCGTTTGATTTTCTTGAAGCCTCGTCTCGCAGCAAGTTGAATTTTCAAGAGAACCAAAGATTTTTGGAAAAGGAAAAGTGATAAGAACAAAAGCAATCACTCGTTTCATTCTTCCATAAAAGGGGAATATTCACGCACAATTTCAAAGTTGTACTTATATTTGTTAACTAGTTCCGATGGAAGAAAAAATGCATTTTTTGACAAAAAAATGAAAACATTGTTTTTTGGTCATCTCTATACACACCATGAAAATCAGATGATAAAAGGGACGTGCTTCTTTGAGGTGTTCCAAATCGGGAGCATCAGAAAAGATTAAAACAATCGAATTCATAATTCCTACCTTTGTTTCCCTTTTGTACGTACCTGCAGTGTTTCAGTAACGCTAGGATGATCGATTGCTATTGCTAAGAATGTGATATTTTCGACAAGCTCACAAGTAATTATTGTAATTCTTTTTCAGCGGGAGAAAAAGAAAATACCGGAAAGGACTTCGAGTGAGACATAGGGAAGCAGAGGGCGAATTATTCATTTGTTTTTGTTGTAACTATACGACTCGCAGTAAAGAAAATCTAGTGAGTCACATTCTTAGCAGTGATTGTAACGTGAATTGTGACGCGAACAAAGTGATTAGGCAGGGAACACCGAACGTATGTTGTTGTTCCCACTGTAACAGAGTCTTCAGTAGAAGAACAAACTTGAATGAGCATATTATCAAAATGCATGCTGAGCTAGTTCCGACGCTTTCTTGTAAGATATACTACTGCGCGAATTGCGACTACAAAACCGCTTTGAAAGGGAATTTCGACCGGCATGTGCTTGTGCACGAGGACGCGACTTCCCTCCTCAGAAGCTACGGTTGCACGTACTGCGACGTCGTATGCAAAAGCAAACAAGGCTTGGATTATCATATAATAAAAAAGCATCCGGAATATATGTCGGAAGTGACCAGGAAGATTCACCGCTGCGCGGAGTGTGACTACAAGACGGCTCAGAAGAGCGAGTTGAACAGTCACATCAGATCGAAACACCCCGGCGTCGCTTCCGAGTTCTACCTTATCCCGTGCGTACATTGCAACAAAACGTTCGTAAAAAAAGTCGAATTAGATAATCATATAATCAGGAAACATCCGAATGCCGTGACGTCGATCACGAGTAAAATTCACAAATGCCCGGAATGCGATCATATAACGACCAGGAAGTACGACTTGGACCGTCATATAATATCGAAACATCCGGACGCGCCGTCCGATTTCAGATTCAGCTTATGCGCACGTTGCGACAAAACGTTCAAGCGAAAAATATTGCTAGATCACCATATAATAAGGAATCATCCGGATGACATCGCTTTAGTCACCAGCAAAATACATAAATGCGAACGATGCGATTTTATAACGACTAAAAAGTGCGAGTTGGAATACCACGTCGTATCAGATCACCCTGATGCAGCGTCCGAATCGAAACTGAATACGTGCGTGTACTGCAACAAGCCGTTTAAAAAGAAGGAATCGCTGGACGATCATATAGTAAGAAAGCATCCCAGCGGCGAAAGTCTGGTCGAGCGCAGAGTCCATAAATGTTCAGAATGTTCGTACCAGACTACCAGAAAGACGAATTTGGATAGTCATATTGCGGCGAAGCATATGTTCAAACCTACTAGCTACCGTTGCGGACATTGCATCTCTGTTTTTAGAACAGAACGCGCGCTCGAGGATCATATAGTTAGAAAACATCCAGAGTTTATTTCGTTGATTAAACGCAAAGTTCATTCATGCTCACATTGCACGTATAAAACAGTTGTAATTACTGATTTTCAGAGACATGCTCGTGTGCATACGGATTCGGTAGCTAGTTTGGAATATCACAAATGTACGGTTTGTGATAAGAGGTTTAAAAGCAAGAAAACGTTGGATGATCATGTGTTGAAAACGCATCAGAAATAGCGTCCGTTACAAAAATGGAATATACTGGTAAGAACCGATTAGGCTTTGAAGATCAGATTGTAAAAGGGTCATAGGCTTCATACAGTTTGTCAGAAATGCGGAAAAATAGTTCCATAGAACGCGTCAGATATTGATATCATATACAGTGGACCTCCGGTAATCCGACAAACATTATGCAGGGCAGTGTCGGACTGTCGAATTTGTCGGATTATAGAGCACTGCCTAAGATCCCCTATAGTGTGGAATTTTTTACAAAAGAGTACCTTGTGATCTGACAAATTACATATCTAATGTTATGTATACGTATGTACTTTGAAGTACAAATCATACATACTTTATGTATGTCGAATTTAGTAAATTAAATAACAACAGAGAGCTTACGTTTTATTATAAAATTAAGCATAAATGCACATACATATGTACCAAAATAATCAAGAAATATTATTCAAAATCATTAATGGATCTATCAAATTATGAAGCTTGGAAATATTCATCAATTTTTGTTTGTTTGAGGTTGTTATAACGCGAGATCAGAGCGTTGTCCCTCAATCTTCTGGAAAGTAAAAGTTCGTTGAAGGATGTACCATTCTCTTCAGCCCATTGTAAACCTAGCTCAAAGGCGGTAATTGCGTCTTGTGCTGTGACTTTGGAGCAGTTGCAATCACGTCGTCGTTATTTTCCTGATTGTTTGTTTTTTTAATTAGAAACATTTTTTATAATCTCTTCGTCAGACATTTCATGAAAAACATTTTCCTCTTTATCCATTCCACTGCACCAGATTACCAAATCTTCCGGACTTATCTGTGTTTCAGTAGCGACTTGTTCTATAACTTCCGAAGTAAAACTGATTTGTGGAACGTTGCTAGGAGTGGTGACTATATCTGGCCATAACTTTTTCCAATACGATTTAATAGTTGATGACGGTAACGCATTCCACGACTGACAAAGAGCAAAAACCAAGTCTTTCATATTAAATTCTTTTAAAGTTTTTTCTATTGGTTGGTCTTTTGATATCGCTCTCAGAAGTGGGATTTTTTTTCTTGCTGAATAAACTGAATGATATTCTGGTCCAGTGGTTGAATCAGTGCAGTGCAATTTGGCGGAAGAAACATCGCAGTGATGCATTTATCCTCAGTTGTTAGTTCTTCTTCAGACGGATGACCGAGAGCGTTATCAAGAAGCAACAACGCTTTTTGAGAAAAATTGTGATCTTTAAACTATTTTCTAACTTCAGGTACGAAGCATTCATCAAACCACTTTTTGAATAGGTCTTTTGTCATCCATGCACTTTCTTATCCGTAATAGTGTACAGGTAAATCAATGTTTGTTAATGCTCGTGGTTTATTAGATTTCCCAATGACCATCATCTTAAGCTCGTGTGTGCCCGCAGCGTTAACACATAGTAGTATGGTTACACGATCTTTACTTACTTTTCGTTCAGGTACGGATTTTTCGTTACAAGAAACGAAAGTTTTGTTAGGCATGACACGCCAAAAAAGCCCTGATTCGTCTGCATTGTACACCTGTGACGGGTCAAGATTTAAACCGTTCACCTTTTGCAAAAATCTTAATTGAAAGGGCTCTATGCAGGTGGCATCGTTAGAAAGTTTCTCTCCTGCAATAGTCATTAAACGTATGCCATGACGACGTTTAAAACGTTCTAGCCATCCTTTGCTGGCCACAAAATCATCTTTTTTTGTTATTTCCTTATAAAAAAACCACATGTACAAAGCTTCTTCCACTTCTGGATGTTCAGCTTTCTTGAGTGTCTGTCTTTTGCCTGGCCCGCAGTCAGTAGTTGACACGAACTTTTGATCTTCTCGTAGTTTCTTTTAATGTCATAAATTGTAGATCGGCCTACGCCGTATTCACTACTGAAAGTTTACATTGCGATTTAAGCGGTCTAAAATATCACATTTTTCTTTAATTGTCAATGCTTTGTGCTTTCGCTTCTGAGTTTGTGATGACATTACTAGGTACTATACTTAATACACAATGAATAAATAGTAAACAATGAACTCACGCTAGGCCGTACCGCTATCACCAATAGTCAAATTCAAACTAAGTAAAACAATGCTTACGCGTCGAGCACGATAGCGGTGGTGCGTACAAGTTGTAACCTGTTCAAACCTGCGTGATCTACATTAGCGAAGATTGTCAAATACGTATGTATGTAATACATATTCAAAGACATGTCGGATTACAGGGGGCGCCGGATTAACTCTTAACTTCAAAATTATAACATATATTTAAAATACCTTCGTTTGATGGTATCCTTGTTTTGCAACTTTGTTGTTTGTATTGGTAACCCCTACTACAAACTGTGAGATAGTTGAGTCTGATCTAGGTGTCTACTATTGTCTTCTCTAGAAGAGAATGGTAGGCAAAGGAATGTGAGCGGGAAATAGCGATGTTATCGAATATTGTGCATATTTTTTACTTTATGCATATCCACAGGTAATTGATTGTTTCCTTTCTCTGATAAGTGTTATATTCTAAGTTTTTTTTTTCTCTCTCTCTCTATAGTTTGTGTCAATGTTTTCCAGGTCGGGTTGAAAAACAGCATAAGCTGACACTCCACCTTTTCGTCACTGTTCCTTTTAAATCAATTATTTTGTAATCGTGTGACGAATAAAGGCCATTTATTATTATTATTATTATTATAAATATACTTCTCTCACTTGTAAGTCTTAATATGTGCATTAAAAATATTATTAAATGCAGAAAAAACATTTTTACACGACATAAACAATTATCGCATAATTTTCTATTTAAATCAGTGATCAGTGTATATTCTGAAAGTATCAAAAGAAGATTCAAGTTGTCTGGAGGGTAGGGTAAACGCTACCCGAATAGTTGATGCCGATGTGGAGATATTTTTGGTGTTAAATATATCATAGAACAAATGATCAACTTAGACGAATTGTCTGGTAGAGACGAACGTTTTTCAGATGCCGATACACCGTCTTCCCTTTTGCATTCTTTCGCTGGGCAGATATAATTAGTATTGAAATTGACGATGCCTCCAGCCCAAGATCAAGAAAAACGTAAGGGTGAGGGCTAATAAGCGTTCTTGGTCTTTTGTACTGTGTACTTTGTTTACGTTTAATTTCGTCGATGTTTTATGGAGGCCAATAAAGGTATTAAGGAATATTATTTTTGATTTAAAGTTGTACATTCCCTCTTGTATTATATACTTAAGGGTCTGATGTGAATGGATTTTCTGAAGTTGATTTCGATTTGTTATGTACTATACAGATTCCATGTAAATTATAGTTATGAAAAATACATGAATGTTAGATCTTTCTGTTGTATTGGCATTAGCTAATAAAAATACGCAAATACTAAATGTGTTTTTGTATATCAATCATCATAAGATTATCAAGCAAAAACCCGAGTACTTCGTTAGGATCTAATCACTATTAATCATCGTAAAGGCTTAAACTTGATAAATTTCATTAATGCAAAATTTCCATTTTCGTCATCCATTGTTACAAGCCTACTAAAGTCCTTAGAGTTCCTGGTAGGAGGCCTAGAGCCAATCTTTGCGAAAAACAACGTAATTCGTAATCTACGCACCTAATTTTGTCAAGAAACTCAAGGTTCGCGTTTTCGTTACGCGTGTTAAAAAAATGGAATTAAATCGGTTGACTCTGCAATTCCCAACAAACGCTCTCGTTAGTTCACAAAGGCACACGTTAGACCCTGTGAGAAAAGTGAAAAGTTAGCTAGACTTCGAAGTTGAGTCATTTATTTTAAAAGTGAGTAGATCTGATCAAAAGAAATGTTTTTTTCCTTTAACATTTTTCTGGTAAAATGAAAGTAACAAAGTTATAGCCCTTTAGAAGTTTGAGTACCGCCCTGTCTCAATAATAATATTATGTGCTCGTGTTTGGCAACAACGGATATACTCCGCCTTATCGGTTCATCGCAACGGAAACAAAAAAGCGAAAGAATTTGAAACGCTTATCACGATGTTTTTACTACAATTTTATTCAGTTGTATTCAGTCAAAGTGTCAGTCGGTAAGGCGTGAGTGAATAGTGGTGTTTGTTGCGTGACTCAAACGGGGTGGGGCGGGGCATCACGGATTTATGCGGATCGGTTTCCCAATCGAGTGCAACCAACCCCTCGTGCCTCGTGAATCAGGTGACTTAAGACCTCACAGGGGAGGGCATGCCGGTGCTCCAAGACCGCAAGATCAAATACAGGACCGCACTGAAATACTTGTCGGGAGGAATTCTTTATAAAACAATGTAACATTTTTTTTTTATTTTTACACGCATATTTTGGTTTATCTTCCTTCTACAATCATTATCTGAAAATTAATGACTCAACTTCAAAGTCACCCTGTACAGGGCGATTCACAAGTCGTGCCCAAAAATGAAACTTCAGGTTATGAGGATGAGCGGAATATTTTTTGAGACCACGATCAGACCTCGAATATTCAGCAACCAGACACTCAAATCTATATGAGACAGAAAATAAAGAAGTACCAGGGTCGTAAGTGGTTATTGAAAAGTGTCTAATATATTTGGTATGTTTACAGCTACGAACATGTAAAACAGAAATTCCATGTTTCTTATACGCGGTACCCTCGGGTCGTTTCAGAAATGGTCTTCAAAAAATTCCAGAATGTTTGGAATTTTCACAAGAAACGAGTTTCTCCCTTGGACTTCAAGTATGATGTTCGCTGTAACAAATTGTCATTTTGGCAATTGCTGCTTGTAACCACTGTACCGCAGCATATAGAAGTAAACAATCCCTAAATGATCATATGTTAAAAAAACATCCTACTGAGATATCGACAGTCAAAGGACTCATATATCCTTGCGAAGAATGCGCATTTAAGACATGTTTCACACAATTCGATAGGCATCTACTGTCGCACTTTGGAAGTAACGTATGTATGTAATGTGACGCAAAATTCAAACATAAATTATACCTTGACGATCATATATCGAAAAACCATCCGACCCATACGACCTCAGTTACTCGGGT